GGGGGCAAACCCAGTTGAAGATACATTCCCAGCAAAATTCACCAATATTTTCGAACAAGACTTTGTCGGCCAAAAGATCCAGATAATAAGCCAATCCCATACTTTGGGGGCAAAACCAAAATCCCTCTACAAGAAGCTTTATACAGATATTGTCGATAAATTATACTTCAAGAACAAGGAGACTCGTATCCTCAAAGTCATGTCGAACAAAAGCCCTTTTCATTGGAAGTGAAGACCGTCTACGACAACGCCATATGGAAGTCTCCTAAATCAATTACATCAAGGTCTCTCATATCGAATAAATCTTCACAAGGAACACTGTTGGCCATCAACATAAAAGGCGACGTCTCAAGGTGACCAGAATCTTATTGATAGCTGAAGTATCGTACACTCAAATCACCTATAGGATTGAGTGATGAGAGAAATACAAAGCGGGAGTGAAAGAGAGCAAAATCAAAAGCAAGAGTGAGAGTGAGGGCTTACTGATATTCTCATGGCTTGGCTTACACTTCTCTTATTAAAAAGAAAACCAAATTTGGCAACATGACAACTACCACACAAAAACGGTTTTCTCCATTTTGCACACACTTCCCGAAACCAAAGTCTTGACATGGATTTCAATTTTAATTCTCTAATAAACGTTTTTCAAACATTTTTGCTTTCATCTTAAGTCAAGATTGATATAGTCACTCTTTGTTCCGGAGAATAGAAAGTGAGTAACAGATCTTCGGGGGCAAAATGGCGCAGCATGGAAGAAGGGGAAGTCTGAATACCCAAGAATCGAAAATCAACTTTTCACTCATGAGTTGATGAAGAAATCTCAAGGAGTTAGAGAGCATTCAATCTCATTAAACCAACCAGCAAACATACTATCCGTCAACTTCATGGCCAGAAAGAGGAAGAACCAACATACTGCACATACCAAGAGATACAGAACTGTAAAACATGAGGGCCCAAGCCTGGCCGACAAGAAGAATGAAGCAATATACGCCACCTGCTCACCCCACAAAGTATACCCTCGTACAACTACCAGCACGAAGATAAGTTTCAAGCGAGCAAGCTGAAAGTCACTCCAACATAAACATGACCTAAGGATCGAGTCGATCAAAAAGAAATTACGATTCCTGGAGGATGAGCAATTTAAAAGAACCCCGGGTTAAAACGCAAAACAAAAACCAAACAAAACGACATATTCTCATAACAGTTGCCAAATGCATCATATCATTTTTTTCACTGAGTATTCATGACTTCATTAGCATGACACATCACACAATCATTCTCAAAATAATTTTGAAACTCCTTAAAAGATAACATCACATATTAAAATGGATCATGCATTCATTGACTACAATTCCCAAAAACTCATACATTTAACTAAATTTCAAATGCCTGTCACATCGTGCCACATACAACAATTACATACACAAAATTTCTTCAAGTCTACCAAGTGCATTTCACATACAGTTATGGCAATGCATAACATCCATTTAGGTTTGTCCTAAACGGATACCATAACACAAATTACATCGGTGCTGGCGAGCGCCTGAAAAATACGACACCAACGCTGATGAGCGTTTGAAAAGTACATCGGTGCTGGCGAGCGCCTAAAAAATACGACACCAACGCTGATGAGCGTTTGAAAAGTACATCGGTGCTGGCGAGCGCCTGAAAAATACGACACTAACGCTGATGAGCGTTTGAAAAATATATCGGTGCTGGCGAGCGCCTAAAAAATACGACACCAACGCTGATGAGCGTTTGAAAAATATATCGGTGCTGGCGAGCGCCTGAAAAATAAGACACCAACGCTGATGAGCGTTTGAAAAATATATCGGTGCTGGCGAGCACCTAAAAAATACGACAACAACGCTGATGAGCGTTTGAAAAATATATCGGTGCTAGCGAGCGCCTGAAAAATACGACAACAACGATGATGAGCGTTTGAAGAATACATTGGTGCTGGCGAGCGCCTGAAAAATACGACACCAACGCTGATGAGCGTTTGAAAAATATATCAGTGCTAGCGAGCGCCTGAAAAATACGACAACGACGCTGACGAACGTTTGAGAACTACATCGGTGCTGGCGAGCGCTTGAAAAATACGACACTAACATTGATGAGCATTTGAAAAGTATATCGGTCTGGCGAGCGCCTGAAAAATACGACAACGACGCTGACGAACGTTTGAGAACTACATCGGTGCTGGCGAGCGCTTAAAAAATACGACAACGACTCTGATGAGTGTTCGAAAATATAGCAGTTACCTTTCATATTAAGTAGAACAACAAATTCTACGATTCAATATCACACACAAACACACAACTCAGTTTTGACTACATTTCTAAACATCACTTATTTTGGAGTCTTCGACACAGTAATCGTCGAAGTTACTTTTGAAAAATGTGGTGTCTTTATAGAAACTTTGAATAACTCTTTATACAAAGAGATATACAAAGGGGGGCAACAGTAGACACCACATTTTGTCCGAGATAATTGTTTTACTGAAAATAATTATTTTAACGTCGTACTACGATAATATTTAAAAAGGAAGCTGAAGATAGTTTGGTTGAGACTAGCAATTGCAAGTCAATATGAACCAACAATTATCAAATTTGCTCCTAGTCGATTTTTGGGCATAATTAGTTAAGATAGGATCAATTTGATTAAGATTAGCAATGACAAGTCTTGAACACCAAATAATTAACTGAGATCACAGGATCGAACTAATTGAGATAATAAGATTAGCAGTGGCAAATCTTAAACATCATTTCTAAAAATAATAGAGGTGCAAAGCTTGAGGTTAGAACATGGGCGTAATAGATGAAATGGAGGCGGAAGCTTTATAGTTAAATTTGACACATGGTACAAAGTATGAACTAAAACTAATTACAATGACTGCCTGTTACTAATAACAACAACAAAATTTGAAGTTTGAACACCATTTCAAACTGGGCCGACTCATCAATTAAAGTCATTGGGCTCCTTTTCTCCTCTCTTTGAGCCCAGACCAGATCACAAACCTACAAAATGAAAAAGAAAATGATCAGAGTACAACCCAAAACAAAGCCCAGGTTCAAGCCCAGTACCGGCCCAAACGAATTCAAGGCCCAACTCGGCCCAATCTTATCCAAGCAGTTAGTCAGCACCGACTTTCATAGGTGGAGGCTTGACAAGCAGCCTTGAGGATCAACCAATCAGAGAGAAGCATGTCATGCTCATCATCAATCACAGACTAAGCAAGGTGGAGGCCTCATATGCAGCCTTGAGGATCAACCAATCAGAGAGAGACATGTCATGCTCATCATCAATCGCAGCATGACACGTGGCGCACAATTCTTGCTATAAATGAGCTCTTTGGGCTCTGTGTTGAAGGGGGAGCTGGGGGGAAAATATCGATAGTGACAAAAAAATACTTTTCCTTTCTCTTTTGAAAATTTCCATGTTCAAGGCTGTAATAGTGGACGAACGAGAATTCAGATCCAAAGTTGACTATCAGGTCGGTACTTGTAAACCCTAAACTTCTCTATTATTAATTCTCTATTATTAATGATATAGCATTTCTCAAGAAGTTCTTGTCGAATCCAATTCTCGTTCTCATTTAGTAGAATTTTGTTTTATTTAAGCTATTTCCTTAAAAGTTATTACTTACAGCCATTTACTGCTATGCGTTTCCCTTAAGCACTTCACTATTCGGATTAAGCTCATTTCAATTAAGTATTTGATTTTCTTATTTCAAGAATTTCTATGCTTCTTTAAATTCCCGTCATGCTTTCATATTCTTTTTTAGAAGATAGTAGACAAACATTAGAATCCAATCCAAATTCGAAGCAGCTCTGCTAAAATAGGCTAAATCCATTTTTTTCTAGAAGTTCTTGGTTCTGGTCTAGAGCCAGATCCAACGATCACCATACCTCACTAAAATTTCAGATCCATAAATCCTTGCCCGTTTTCAAATCACCCAACAATTCTAATCTAATAAAAACCACAAGCAGTAGCAGTGATTTAGTCCATAGTCTAGCAAAATCACTAACAGTGGCAATCGCTAAGATAAGCAATTTAGAGCATGTTAATTACATCTCCATCACAGAAAAATCATTTTCGCCAATTTCTAGTATATCAAAAGCTACATAAAAAACCATCGAAAAACCCATAAAATCCCAATCAAGCCAATAACAATAAGATTAGTAAAAACTTTATTTTCTTTTAGCTTAATGACCAGCAGTGGTGATCTTTGGTTAGCTTCTAATTCTTTAACTACCTTAATTCTTTAGTAGTTTGATTCATAGAGTAAAATATCCGAAGGCAATAACAACCTATTTCCTAAAAATCAGATCTGTAAATCATTTCCTAGCTCACTAAAATCACCATTCTTGCCAAGAAACCAGATTCGTAGATAATGAAAGATCTGCAGACTCACAAATCTAAACCAGCGAAACCTTTTTTTTCCCTACCATAAACTCGGATCTACAAACAAACTAAATTTTTTCTAGTTTAACCTTCCTAGTTATGAGACCTCACCTAAATCTCTAGGTATTCGAAATCTGCAAAAGGAAAAAATAGAATTAGAACCCAGCGTAAGTAAATATTCAAACAAGAACAAGAAGGAAAAAATTACACCCACCAAGAGAGAGTCCGCCCCTGCGCCGGCGGCAGATTTTCTTCCCGGCGGCGGCACCTGCTCCGACGGCTGCAGCTGTCTCCTACCTGCTTCTTTTCCCTTCGTCCAAAACCAATCCTCAAAGAGCCACAAGGAAACAAAAGAAAATTAGCCGAATCCCAATAAAAATCACCTAAAAACAAATCGAAAAGACCATGCATGTCTCGATCTTACCTATATCGAAACCCTCTCGGTTGATTTAGTACGGAACGAGCGGACTCCTTAGCTAGCCGAGAGCACAGAGAACAGAGTAGAGAATCAAGAGAGGGAGAGGGCGATTGTTCTTCGTTTTTTTTGTGGTTTTCGGTTTACTTTGGAGGAAACAAGAAGAGAGAGAGGCGAGGCGAGGTGAGGCGAGAAGGCGGCGGGTAAGGGTTTCTGGTTGGTTCTGGAGAAGACGAGAGAATCGGCCGAGAGAGAGAGGGAGAGTGGAGGCAGCCACCTCTGTTTAGGATGGATTAGGGTTTCATTGAGAGGATTATATACCATTATGTTTAAAACGACGATTTTACCCTTAGGGTTTCCTTAAAATTGCGACTCCTTGCCACCGCGTTTTCAAGAAAGTACAAAAATGCCCTTCCCCTGTGTTGAAAAACGAAAATTATTAGAGGAAGGCTGAGGTATCGAACCCGCTACCTTCTCCTGAGAAACTCTGTCCAGCTACTTAACCAATTGGGCTGCTGGTCCATCTGGTGTAAGTTTAATCAATCAGTTTCTTTTTATTATTTAATATCCTTAATACGAAATTTCATATGCGGGTTAAGTTAATCCTGTTTCTTTTCTAATGCACCAAGTATCTTCCTAACAACTAAAATTATTATGTTTCTCTTAACAACCTCATAATAACCTATTCAAATTTTATTAACAAAATTCTTAATGCGAGAATCACGATCAGTGGAACGTGGTTACAACTAAATCATCAAAGTCCCCAATGAACTACGTGGACTTTGATCCCGTCTAACGGGTACGTAGGCAACCGATAAGGTTCGAGTCTAACTAATCAACTAACTTTATCTTTTAATTTTACGTCGGTGGGCGTATAATTTAATTACAACTAATACGGTAAAATCATTAAATGGTCCAGTGGGACCCTAAAAATACATGTTTTCTAAAATACACCCAACTCATAGAAACTTATCAGACTTAAGTAGTACCGATTTAGGGCGTTGTGGGGTGTTGCTTAACTTCCCCACACGTAACCGTACTCCCGAACCCAGAACTTTATTTTCGCAGACCATATCTCGGTTCTGACCCTAAGGTTGGAGCCGATTCGAAGAGTGTTCGATCCACTCCAAGTAAGATCGATGGCGACTCCCAAAATGCCTACGACATCGGACCCCCCGGAGGGACGGCTGCGACACAATCAGCCACTTCCAGTGGCGGAGCCACGTTGTTGGCAAGAGGGGATATAGCCCCCCAACTCTCAAAATTGTGTAAATTTACCTGTAAATTTCACAGCACATTTGGATAATAGAGTAGGTGGTAAGGCTTTAGCCCCCCCCCCCCCTCGCCAGTTCAAACCTTTTAACGTAAAATTTTTTAGCCCCCCCCGGCTTATTTAGATTCCTGGTTCCGCCACTGTCCGCTCCCCGACCGGCCAGCTGCAGCTTGTCGTCCCTCCCACATTTGTATACAACTAAGGTTACAAATAGGGCAAGGCTATATTTAGACTGAACATGAACTAGATCTAATTTACAACTCCATCAAACTCCACTATAAGTAAACTTATTGTGAACAATACATTTTTTTTTAAATTAGCTCAGTCTCGTTTGGAGCCCATATAAATGCAGCATGTGAGATTTGATGATTATGTGATTTCGTCAATCCCTCTTTGCTTTTCACAGATGGAAATATTTTGCATGCTTTTGGGGGGATTCTAATTCATTGATTTGTGCTCTCTGCTCCACGTTGCATTCAGAAATAACATCACTATCTATCAACTTGCCACCCATCAATCATCATATCAGTATATTACTAAGAGCAGAGCAGTAAATGTTATCAGTGAAAATATGAACCAGTACTTCTTCTTTAACAGTCATTGAGATACGAATTCCCATATGCACTCACGGAAAGTGGTGAGTGAGTAGAGAAAGAAACTATGCAAAAAGGATTCCTTCCCTCTGGGACTCATTTACCACTAGGGTTTTACACATTTCATCTCTTACCTGAAGGCTCAAACCTTGGCAAGGATGGACTGGACGTAAGCCCATACTCAGCACACTATCATTCCAATTCGAAGCCCAAATATAAAAGCCCAGATGATTAACAAAAGAACCAACTATAAAGCCCATATTCAACGCCACGTGGTGAACTAACTCTATTTACCTGCAATGAGCCGCTTCCCGGCCGGCCAACTACAGCTTGTCGTCCCTCCCATATTTGTATACAACTAAGATTAACAACGGGATGTCCAATTCATCCCGTAGGGTTACTAGGCAGATCCATCGAAATTGAACCGAACATAATTTCTGGTGTCGGACAACGAATCACCGAAATTGTACATGGCCGAAAATCTGCAGCACTTGAGAAGTTGTGTGGAGGTCAAAGGGAGGTGAATTGCAAGGTGGAATGGAATCAGACAACAGGGAAGGGGAAAGGAAACCGGGGGTGACATTTTTCCAATCGAGGAGAGGAAGTGGGAAACATGGGATTGGCGGGCTACTGATTAAGAGAGAGAGATGAAACGGGCTAGTGTTGTAGAGAGGTGGTTGGGTGCTCAAAACAACGAATCACCGAAATTGTACATGGCCGAAAATCCGCAGCACTTGAGAAGTTGTGTGGAGGTCAAAGGGAGGTGAATTGCAAGAAGGTGGAATGGAATCAGACAACAGGGAAGGGGAAAGGAAACCGGGGGTGACATTTTTCCGATCGAGGAGAGGAAGTGGGAAACATGGGATTGGCGGGCTACTGATTAAGAGAGAGAGATGAAACGGGCTAGTGTTGTAGAGAGGTGGTTGGGTGCTCAAAACAGGGGATTGGATGCCCGAAACAAGGGATGATTGTTAGCTATAGCCACCCGCTATATATACAGAACGTATGCACTTGTAAACTTTACTAGAATCCTATATGGCCCAGACAGATCACAAGCCTTTGCTTACGTATTAGTTTGAGATCACATTAATTGAAGCCACCCAAACAGGGATGGAGCCAGTGCATTGGCAGGGGGGCCATTGCCCCCCCCCCCAAACTATAAAATTTTAGCTGTGCAGCACTTTACGCGAATGCTGCAATAGTCCAATGGGCAACGAGTTTGTCTTTTTAATAGGAGGTCATGTGTTCGATGGTGGAGGATTGCAAACATTTTAACTACTAACAGGAAAATGTGCATCCCCCCAAAAAAAAATTACCATTTTAGCATATTTGAACCTCAATTTCCTCAAGTTCTACGATTTGGTTACCAAACTTTCTTATTTTGTCATATTCTCTTCCTTTATTTTTCCAATAAAGGAAACCGGGGGTGACATTTTTCCAATCGAGGAGAGGAAGTGGGAAACATGGGATTGGCGGGCTACTGATTAAGAGAGAGAGAGATGAAACGGGCTAGTGTTGTAGAGAGGTGGTTGGGTGCTCAAAACATGGGATTGGATGCCCGAAACAAGGGATGATTGTTAGCTATAGCCACCCGGTATATATACAGAACGTATGCACTTGTAAACTTTACTAGAATCCTATCTGGCCCAGACAGATCACAAGCCTTTGCTTACGTGTTAGTTTGAGATCACATTAATTGAAGCCACCCAAACAGGGACGGAGCCAGTGCATTGGCAGGGGGGGCCATTGCCCCCCCACCAAAACTATAAAATTTTAGCTGTGCAGCACTTTACGCGAATGTTGCAATAGTCCAATGGGCAACGAGTTTGTCTTTTTAATAGGAGGTCATGTGTTCGATGGTGGAGGATTGCAAACATTTTAACTACTAACAGGAAAATGTGCATCCCCGCAAAATTTTTTTTACCATTTTAGCATATTTGAACCTCAATTTCCTCAAGTTCTACGATTTGGTTACCAACCTTTCTTATTTTGTCATATTCTCTTCCTTTATTTTTTTTGTCTTTAACCTTAATTTCTCATCGCCGATTTTCCAAGGCCTTGCAATTTAGTAATTTAACTTTCTTATTTGTGTATCTTTTCCTGGTTTTATAAGAATTACCATTTTGATTATGGCTGGAAATATGCGTTTTTCACGAATTTCTCCTGTCTCCACTAAGAATTGGGTACCTTCAACTTTTATATTCGTAATTCGCCTATGGTGCCAGATGCGGTAATCTTGTTTGGATCAAATAACAAAGCAAGCCTCTTCTACATGTTAAAAAATAGGTTACACTAATAGTTTGTTAACTTATATTAAAAAAGAAGTAGCATAATGAAATTCATATAGTATTTCAAATTTTAATGACATAAAACTTCTATGAGACTAAAATTTGATAAAATATAAATTTTATATATCGTATATTTGACTACTAATTTTTTTTGTTGCCCCCCAACTAAATTCCTGGCTCCGTCCCTGCACCCAAATGGGGCAAGTCTACATTTAGACTGAACATGAACCGGATCTCATTTACAACTCCATCAAACTGCACTAAGTAAACTTATTGTGAACAATACATCTCCTTAAACTAGCTCAACCACGATTGGAGCCCATATAAATGCAGCATGTGGGATTTGATGATTATGTGACTTCTTCAATCCCTCTTTGCTTTTCACATATTGAAACGTTTTGCATGCAGAAATAGCATCAATATCTATAAAACTTGCCACCCATCAATCATCATATCAGTATATCACCAAGGGCAGAGCTGTAAATGGTATGAGCGAAAAGATGAACCAGTAGCTCTTCTTTAATAGTCATTGGGATTCAACTTCCCATATGCACTCAAGGAAGGTGGTGAATGAGTAGAGAAAGAAACTATACAAAAAGGATTCCTTCTCTTTGGGACTCATTTACTTATAGGGTTTTTCTCTTTGCATCTTTTACCTGAAGGTTGAAACCTTGGCAAGGCTGGGCTGGACGTAAGCCCATACTCAGCACACTCATCATTCCAGTTCGAAGCCCAAACATAAAAGCCCAGATGATTAACAAAAGAACCAACTACAAATCCCATATTCAACGCCACGTGGTAAACTAACTCTATTTACTTGCAATCTGCCACTCCCCGGCTGGCCAACTGCAGCTTGTCGTCCCTCCCACATTTGTATACAACTAAGGTTACAAATGGGGCAAGACTGCATTTAGACTGAACATGAACCGAATCTCATTTACAACTCTATCAAACTACACTATAAGTAAACTTATTGTGAACAATACATCTCCTTAAATTAGCTCAGCCTCGATTGGAGCCAATATAAATGCAACATGTGGGATTTGATGATTATGTGACTTCTTCAGTCCCTCTTTGCTTTTCACAGATTGAAACATTTTGC